TTAATATTTTAAATAAGACAGGGGCAGCTTTGTACATACAAGGATCCACTTTCAAGTGTGTGTTACATATTTAAATTACATCCACAAGAGACATTCCACCTAAAATTAATGGATACAATTACGGTATTTATATTCCCACCTTGAGGTATCTCAGGAGTATGATTTTTTTTTTTTTTTAGTGCAATTAAAAGTGAGCAGGCACATTTAGAAGTCAATGTCTTTCAGTGATTCCAAGCTCAATATTCAAAAACAGAAGCAGAAATCTTACTGTATCTGAAAACTTTGACCAAGTATTTACACCTAACACATACTTATCTAAACTTGTGTTTGGTGTGAGTACCGAATTGTTCAATTTTTCAACCTCCCAGTTTTAAAAAAGCAATGTTTTCAAGTTGAATATTCCTGAAGTCTGTGGTTGTTAGAGAACAGCACTGGGCAGGGAGCTGGGTTAATGGTGAGAGCTAGCCCAGGGTACAAATCTATGGAGATAACAAACTGAAAGGCAATCTCAAAATAATATTTTTCACTTCTACAACACCTTTAATTTAAAAAACAAAACCAAAGACCATGCCTTTGCTGGGCTTCAGTTGCTTCTGTTGAATCCTTTGAGAGGTTTTTCAGCTGTTCTGTCTGTCCTCAGAGCTGGTCTGTCAGTCCTAGGCTAGTACCTCTCCAGCAGAAGTCCTGTGTGAATCTGGACTGTTGTCAAAAAGCAAATGGGAGAATGAACATTGAATAGGCAGGAGCTTCACATCCACCAAACCAGGGTAGTCTAGAATTACGAATGCTGTTTATATATAAAACAAACCACCCAACCCTACAAAAATTACGAAGAATCCCACAGAACTTGGAACAGCAGTGGTTCTACACAATACATGACTGAAGAACTAGACAGAAACACGGACTATTTTGAGAACTTTTAGGAGGGGGGAGAAAAATGGGGCTTCTCTTGTGATGAATCTCATTGCAGAAGGAATTTAGATCAGCCCCTAATCTTACTACAGTGTTTTTCTTATTTTTAAATTTTCTTTTTTTCTTCCCCTTGATGATGTTTCCTTTCTGAAGACTGTATACAGCAGGACACAACAAAAGCATTTGCTTCTCTGGCCTTTTGAGATGAATTATATTTAAATCCAGTTCATCCAATATCTGAGGGGTTGTTAGCTTGTGCACTGCTTCCCTTTAACCAGTTCTTTGCTGTTCTGACTTCATGATTCACCATCGCTGCATGTACATGGAAGAGAAAAAAACACACCAGTGTCATGCTGTTGGGTTAGTTGTCTCAGGAGGAAATGATATGCAAGAATATCTCTGGAGTTCATGAGAAGGTGTTATCAGAAAACAAATGCAACACATGAAATGACCCCATCTGTGGTGCTAGATGCTGAAAGCAAAGGGCTGGTTTGATTTCTTTGCTGGTTAGTGGCTACCCAGTACCCCCTTTCTCCTGCTCCCAGGCAAGGACTGAGCCATCAAATTGCCCTCTTTCCACAGGTGAAGATAACTTTTATAGATGAAATTTTTGTATTAAATCTGGCCTCATAACAGGTGAATTTTCTATGTGGGCCACTGGTTTCTGCCTAGGTAGCTTGGTCCTTAGCACTTTCTTAATAGTGTTTGGTTCATGCCAATATTAAAAATGAGATTTTTTTTATCAGCTGGTTAAGTTTCAGTCAGCATTAACAGCAGGGGCTTAAACCACCTCTGATGTTAAAAGGGCCACTTAAAATATTAACATTTCATATGGGTTTTTTTTAAGTACCTTTCCAAACTGAGGCACAGCCTGGGAAAGGAGTATTTCTTTCTGTACTAACTTATTCCCCACCCAGAACATCTCTCCTTAAGAAAGAGTCACCCTTTTTCAGACAGAAAGACTAGGAGCGTGCCCAGCAGCGCCCAGGGAAAACCGAATCCCTGTTTAATTTAGGAGTGATAAAGCAGGACGAGGATTGCTACATTGCACTCAGGGGCCTACAAACAGTGATGCTGAGAAGGGGGTAGGCTGCACCTCTGTTTGCCAGGGGAGTAATGGTTGCTGGAGAAGAGATTGGTCTTGCACTTGCTTGTCCACCACAGGAGCATCAGCCTCCTTCCCGCTCCCTCCTGTGTGCACGGGAACCCGGGCCCCAGCAAGGGTGGGGAGATTTCATGCCTTTCTGCTCAGGCAGGATTTTAGCACTAGGTTTCAAAGGCAAGATATAATATTTTAAATATATATTACAAAAATGTATATACACATGTATATTTTCAACTTAGCTTATGCTTCAGGCAGATGACCTCCTCCTGCAAAGGAGCCCAGGCTGTCATATCTTGACTCTTGTACACAAATCTGCAGCCTTGATGCTCATGAGTACAAGCTTTTGCCATAATAATAGCTTTGTTTCATTTTACTTCATAGTCTTTCATTTTTCTTGCTCAAAAGAGCTGCTGAAAACATCTATTTATCTGTACATAGTTTTCTTTCTGACACTACTGATTCAGCTAAGAGTTTGGTCAGGAAAAGCAGCAGATCTTGGTCTGATAAGGTTCAATTGCAGAAATAAATGGAAACAAATTTTTTTGTTTACCAGGAAATCCCACAACTTCAGATACTTATTCACTTTGAAATGAAGCACGTTTCAAAATTTCATGTAAAATGAAAATTGAAAAAGTAGCTTTGAATTAAGGGAAACACTTAAAAATATTTCACCACCACAAGGTTCTGTTCTTTAAACCCTCTAAAAATTTTATATTAAGTCACTCTGAAAAGTAATTTTGGAACAACTTTGATTTTGAAAATGTTGAAATGTCATTACTGAAACATTTAGTCTCAGATGTTTTCAAAATTATATCTTGTCAAAATCAATTAAGAGTTTAAAACATTTGGGTCTTGATGAACTACCCCCAGCATCTTTATGAGCAGGAAAACAACACCTGACCAGCTGTGTTCAGTGAGGCCTTGAAATAGTATCAATAAAGTCTAAAAAAGGGATTAGCATAACTTCAGAAGAAATTTGCCCAAACAAAGCAGTCTTTCAGAATCTGAAATGGAACCTAATAATCTTGCACTTTGTATTAAACTAATATCCTTTATCTGAGCAACTCTGAATGTTTTAGAGATAAATCTCTTTTTATTTGCATTTGTTTGCCTTCCTACAATTTAGAGGCATAAATTTCTCTACAGTCTGATCCTGAGATACCAGATACTAAGAAAATATGCCTAAATAATGCATGTGCCTTCACTTTGACTGAAGCATACTTATCTGAACAGGGCTGATTTTTTGCATCAAGGCTTAAGCCTCACTATAGTGCTTTGAAGTGACAATATCTCTATTTTACAGGTGGGGAACTTGAGGTAGGGTGTAGTCCAAAGATACCTTTTGCCAGTCAGGAGCAAAAACCCCACCTTCTGATGGGGCTAATGCAAATCCAGTCAAAAAGCACTTTAACAAGGGTGATATTTAAAATTTCAGCTCAAGCTGATAGGTCATGATGACTTTTTTCTGAAAATGAACTGTTTAAGTTTTAGAAAGTAAACTTGACGTTTAGAGTGTTATGCCTGAAAAGCCTTTTCATAGTACAACTGACTTCTGCTGTTGTTAGCATATAGCTCAAGCTCATTTTGTCCTGTACTCAGTGGTATGCTCAGCAAATCTGAACCAGTGTGCAGCTGTATCTTCTTAACAATTTTTCCTGTGTTATTTAGAGGCTGGAAGGGAAGACCCAGATGGCTAGTGAATTCAGCATCTTTTCCAGCTGCTCAGGGTAAAATTATTCTGATAGCTTGCATCTGGAACCTAGGATCTAAGTCTGTCTTAAAACAAACAAAAAACCCAAAACACCCCACACCAAACAACAACAAACCCTAAAGCCCCACAACAACAATTTCTCTTGCAATAAGTGTAAGCAGAAATCTTTCAAACAAAAAGAGCTGTGGTGGAGCAGCCCCTCTAAAAGCTACCCTGAAACTGTGGCTTTGGAGCAACTGAGTTGCAAACTCTCCAGTAGTGGTGGTTTAACATTTAATTTCACTCCTGAGCGAGGAAACTTAGAAAAGGGGAGGATTATGATGGCCTGCAGTGGGAGGTGCAGCTCTGTCAGAGACATGTTGAGCTGAGCTATCTGGTGCCATGGGAAGGAAAAGACCATGGGTCCTCATCCTGCCACCCTTCCACAGCTCCTGGCCTTGCCTGGTTACATCTGCTGCACCAGGGATTTTCTTGGCACACAGGGTAGTTTAATTGTTTGCTATTTTAACCTGGCACAGAGGAGCTGCTTTGCCCACTCCCTAAAATGCAGCTGCAACACAAGTATGCAGGCAAAGGTGATGTACAACGCCTTGCATCCAGCTGAAACCAGAATTTTTAGTTAAGGAAAATGGGAGTTTGAGAGGGGTTTAGGGGTTCTGGCCAAATTCTTGAGGAAACCAGCCAGAAAGCTTTTAATTTTACAAGCTGTCAAGATTGTGGTTTTGCATCCCTCTGGGATCTCTGCTTAGACCATGAGCTAGTGCCAGATCTGAGGGAGTGCTGCACAGGGGCACTAGGGAGATCCTCTGGGTTTCTCTTGGGGTCACACACCCCCCTGTCTGGCAAGTCACAGCACCAGCCAAAACATCTGGCAGTGGTTCTCAGGGACTGGTAGGCACCTGGTAGCAGAGGGGAGCTGGGTGTCCACACTGGTGAGGAGTCCCAAGGAAGCTAAGCTGAATACTTGTATTAACACCTTGGGGAAACTGTGATTAAAGTCTGATCAGCAAGTGAAACTCCATCTGTGCCATCTGGTTGTCTGTCTTGCACAGGTTTATAGCCACAAGATTATTTAGGGGTGCAATTTACAGGCAGAGACTGGTTTAGAAATAAAAGCATCAAACCTTTTGTTTAAGTTTAAATCAAAGTCTCTGCATATAAAAACTTAAATAGACCAAAGAATTACTCTATTTATAGCTACATATAAAAATTAGATTATTTTGGAATTATATTGACCATATTTCTTCAAATAATATAATGAAGTAAAATTACCTGGGGTTGGCAATTGATTCTTTTTCTTCTTCTCTTACAGTAGGCAAGCATTCACAGTCAGCTGAAAAAGGGTAGGAAACAAGACTATAGTTACTCTTGGCAGTTCTTCTACATTTATTTGAAAACTGCATCAACTCTTACGCAGTCGCTCTAGAATGTAAAACTGCAGATGCTCTTCTGCACCCTTTTATCTGTAAAATCTGCATGGTCCCCATAGCGTAAATGTTACATGTTTTAAATCCTCCTTCCCCTTGACAGGTGTTGCCATAATTTATTTATTCTATATATTTCAGTTGTTTTATGTACACCTATACAAATGAACTGCTTTTGAGGACTGTTTCCTATAAACTGCCATGGGGAGGACTATTTGTTAATCTTCCACCACTTACTGCTACACCTATGCTTTACAGTCCACCTGGGAATTTGGGGCTGGCGTTTAGGGAACACTAACAAAAAAACCACCTGTATTTAAGCTATTTGCTACCTTCTGTCCACAGGATTTAAAAGAGTATATTACAGCACTCTTCCCTGTGTACTATACTTAATGCCTCTATTTCACGACTGCCACTTAGCACATGTTTTCTGCTAGAGCTTACAGACCGCGAAGGTCAAAACTCCATCGTGTGGAGCGCTGTGCTAATGCAAGGAAATGCTCCAAAGGGTTTTATGTCCTGAAAAACAAAGCATCCCTAGGAGGCCAGGCAAATGAGCCATTTGGATGTAAGGCAAGGGACCAGGAAAGGGAAAAGAAAAAATAAAAAAAATCTCAAGGTTTCAGCATTTCCTAGCCAGTGAAAAGCTCTTAGCGGTTCAAAACCAGGTCTTGGTTAATTCATGCCTTACCAAAGACCTGCATTTTTTGAGGAAAGCCTTGAAGGCCAATGCAGGGCCCTTGTAGACTTTGAACAGGAGATTTCAATTGTGAGGAAAACAGGGGGGAAAAAATACAAGATACTTAGAAGTATCTCGTAGGATACAACTAAAGGAGCTGAAGATGCTGGTGGTAGTTACTGCAGGTACCAATTGTTCCATGGGCTGCTAGACTTGCCAGGGAGGTTGTAGATGGTGAATGGTGCTGGCAGCAAAGAGCAGCTTGTGTTTCATGCTGTAGAGATGGCAAATGAGGGAAAGGACACAAAGAGGAGCGGGATGTATTCATAGGATCCTGGCAGCAATTTTAAGTAAACGGTGGTCTGAACTATGAATAAATACGTGTTTCTTCTACAATAGCACAATGTGGAGCACAGAACTGTAGAAACTCTGAAGACTGAAAGGACTAGATGCTTCAGAGAAACTAGTATTTAGCATTAAAAATGTGTATTTAAAAATACAAATACTGTTCACAGCTATACGTGTGTTTATTAGAAGTGTCTACTGGAAACTCAAAACATTTATGATATTCCATCATCTGTTAAAAATAAGCTCCCACACAAACTAAAATACTCTTCTGAACAATTATATCCCTACATCTGTGCTGCTATTTTAGTGGCAGAGAGTCAAGAACACAACTAAAAATGTTGTAGGAAAAGCCATGACACACATACAAAATGCCTTACATTCATTTTCTACGCGTGGAATCTATATCAGCTAGAGAGAGAGGGGCGATGGAGTAGAGGGGTTACCGTGTACCGTTTTTGTTCATGCTGTTCATCCATTTGTCAAGCTCTTCCATTTCTATCTCCATAACAGAGGGTGTGTCTTCTTCAAAAATAGGACTTGAGAAGAGGGAGGGAGAAAAGAGGCATTACACAAAATGCTTAATTCAAACAACTTACAATGTAGTAATTTTGTATGAGTCTTTCATCATTCCAGACACATATATAGACTCTGGAAAGCCATCCTAGCCCAGTAATCTGAGAAGATGTCAGCCCAATGGGTGTGAACGAAAAGGCTGCAAAAAGATGTGAAGGAGCAATGGTGAGATGCTGGTCCTGGGCAGAGGTGGGGCTGACTGGGACGTCCTGTGCTGAGGGACTCCCACAGTGCAGTCTGGGCTATGCCAGAGCACAGGACCACTGCAGCCATTCAAGAACTGTCCCTACTGTAAATAGGAAACTGAAAAATAAAATAGTTTGTCTATGCTATGGACCATGTGGCAAATGTCCTGTCACTCCAGTGATAAAAGCAGAGGGCCAAAAGTTTCATCCTAGCTGTGACTGACATTGACAGTGACTTAAAAGGGAAAGGTCATGAGCAGAGTAACTCTGCATTTATTTCAATGCCTCCGTTTAGCTTCCCTTTGCTGATCATTCCTGGAGTCACATTGTAGAAAAATATTTTTAGCAAAAAAACCTTTTTGTTCTTTTCCTCCATGAAGCCAATTTAGTAACTTCTGGCATTGATTAGCAAGTTGGAGCTCAATAAAAGGTAACAATAAAAATTATCACTCTAGGAGCCATGCAGCTTTTGGCTTGTTTTCCCAGCAGCTGAGGCATTGCTTCTGCAGCAGCTGGGTGGGCCTTTCGGCCTCACCTCAGAGTGAGAAGACAGACTTGAAAAACACAGAGCTTATTCTGAATAGTAAAAGCCTGTGATGAGCCTGGGAACTGATGCCCTTTGCTCACGGGGCACCTTGTAGGACTTCTAGAATCCTGTGGCTGGTGGAGCCCAGGGTGCCTAGAGCAGGTAAAGGGGCAGCTGCAGGCAGTGGGTGTCCATGGGTCAGCGCCTGCCTTGGCCACCACAACTCCTCTTCTCCTGCTCCAGTCTGACACCTTCAGCTAGATACTTTAGTCACCTTTAGAGATAGTTAACTGGAACAATTAATGGCAAAAACTAGCAGTGTTTATTGCACGGCTAAATTAAAATAGGCAGCAAAGAAGCCAAAAAGCAGAATGTTCTGTTAGAGTAAGAGAAACAACAACAACAACAACAACAAAGTGATAGTTATAAAGTTTACCTTTTCACATTTTCACTTCCCAGCTCATCTGGAAAATAAAAAAGTTGGTGTTCATAGTTCTGCTCTATGTATATACAGGGTCCAGACTGCAGGCAAGCTTTGAATAGGGTCATGTAAAACAGGTTGCATTTTCAAAAGGCATAATAGTTAACTTGTAGATGGAAGACAAAACATCTCATCCCACTTGTAATTTTCAGAGGAAAACCCATTATTTTTAATCTTGAAGAAACTGAAAGCAGCTCATTATTAGCTCAGCCATGCTGGGAGGAAACCGAGTGTTAGTGCCATGGTGGGCAGGATGCTGGGGAAGCATGCTTCCCTGAGCAAAACGGATGTTGTGAGAGAAATGGTACCCTGAAAAGGAACCACTGCTGCAAAAAAATTGTGTACTGGAAGGATCGAGACATTTTGTTGCAGGCTTCATGTAGGGCTTCTGTCTCTGCCTGGTGTCTCTGGGAGCCACTCATGGAGAGAAGAAGCAGGGGATGGACTTGCATGGCAGATTAAATCTCAGTTAGGCAAATGAAGCTGAATTAGCCAGATGCCAAAAGGGATCTAAAGCTAGTTATGACCCCAAGACAAAGTCAAGATGGGGAAATAATTAGAGTAACAGTAACTGCAGAGCCACCCAGGGCCACAGAGCTGTCTGCCTCCACCTCTGAGCAATAGGCACAGGGCAAGAGAACCCAGGATTGTGCTTCTGCAAGGCCCCACACTTCCTGTCACTATGAAGACCATACCTACATTTCAGGTCATCCAGATAAAGGTGGGGAACTAGATGCCTGATTGTGAATTTGGAGTTTGCTACAAGGGTGACCTGCTCATAAGGAAGGTGCAGCCTAAAAATGCCCTGAAAAATGGACTTAAAATCTATGTTGAATATATGTCTCTGTCTGCAGGCTGAGGAGCCTACAGCTGCACTCCTGTTCTGTAGAGACGCAGATATGACCATTTCAGGACTTCACTTACCAACTGCATGATTTTAATATGACACTTCAGCTTGTTTTCTGTTGCTTCACACTCCAAGTTACCAATTTCTTTGCTAACAGATCAAGGCAGCTTCCTGAAGTGCTGCTCACCCTATAGCAGCACCTAGGCATTCTGACCACAAGATTCTTCACTCATTTACTGTGAATTCTTCATAGCTGCCACCACGCTACAGGATCCCTTAAAAATGTTCCTTAAAATGGTTTGTTCTTATTTTATTGAAGCTCTGCACAGCTACTACAGGATCCCTTAAAAATGTTTCTTAAAATGGTTTTACTTGTTCTTATTTTATTGAAGCTCTGCACAGCTTTACCTTGTGAGCTGTATAGGCAATGGAAGCATTAAATTCACCTTGCATCAAGTTATTAGCCATACGGATAGAGGAAGTGTCTGCAGGCGCGTGGTTACATCCTTA